CGGCGGCGACGACGAGCCACCGCCGTCCATCCCACCGCTCATCCTCGACGCCTGGCACTTGAACTCCGGCCCGTCCGGCTCGTTCTTGAACACGAAGCATTTCGGGGCGAGCACGTACGGCGTCACGAGCGCCCTGCGGACCAAAGTTCACACACGGTTCGTTCACTGCCCCCGAGAGATTCGTTTTCCCGATTTTATTATTATATTATTCTCAAACGAGGCCCTCGAAAGGGAGAATTACCTTCCCAAGTTTCTGACCGTGATGTCGATGTCCAGTTGGCCCGCGAAGTTGTTCCCGGGATCCAACAGCTCGAACGGGCCCCTGAACACGTACGGCATTGGGTCCTTGATGGACAACTTGGCCTGGAAAAACGAGAGAATTTATCGATCTGTTGCACGTTGCTCAAGATCGATAAGAAGGGAATTTTAAAATTACGAGTACTATTTGTGCTCATCGTTTGGGGGTGTTTATTAATTAAAATTGCTCGAAAGGGGGGAGTTTTTTTCAGGAGAAATTTCACGGATTTTATGATTAAAAATATCAAGTATTGTTCTTTGAATATTGTGCATTTAACGATACAATACAGCAAATGTATTTAATATTTCTACTCGTCTTCTCTGGAATATTTATACGATATTTATTAATAAATATACGATCGAACAAGTTTATAATTGTGATATGATAACGAATAATCCCTTCGACGGTGAATTTTGCAGAGAAAAGAAGTGATTTTTGTAGTTTTATGTGAGAGATGATTTCAATAGTGCGTTTTGTAAAAAATTGTGTATTGGTTTTTAATGATATAACGCAGCAAATATATTTAATGTTTCTATTCGTCTTCTTTGGAATATTTATTATTTTATTATTTTTAAATGTTGTATACCTATTTTTTATTTTTAAAATTCTTCAATTATGACGGGTTAATTTATCGATATATGAATCGATTATTGGAAAATTAGAAATAACAATGAAAAAATAACACCAAGAAAATGATTGTTAACAATAAATATACGATCGAACAAGTTGTTTATAATTGTGATACGATAATTCCTTCGACGGATTTTTCGGAAATTGGAATTTCTTTGGAACATTTATTATTTTACTGTTTCTAAATGTTGTACATCTATTTTTATTCGGTTTCTCTGGAACATTTATTATTTTATTGTTTCTAGATGTTGTATAGCTATTTTTATTTTTAAAATCCTTCAATTACGACGAGTTGATTTATCGATATATGGATTGATTATTGGAAAATTAGAAATAACAATGAAAAAATAACACCAAGAAAATGACTGTTTAGCAATAGATACACGATCGAACAAGTTGTTTATAATTGTGATACGATTCCTTCGACGGATTTTTCGGAAATTTTGCAGAGAAAAGAGGTGATTTTTGTAGATTTATGTGAGAGATGATTTCAACAGTGCGTTTTGTAAAAAATTGTGTATTAATTTTTAGTAATATAACGCAGCAAATATATATTTCTACTCGTCTTCTCTGGAACATTTATTATTTTATTGTTTCTAGATGTTGTATACCTATTTTTACGAAAATTACGACAGGTTAATTTATATGGATCGATTATTGGGAAATAAGAAAAATGAAATAACAATGAATTAGAAAAAGTAACAAGCTTATAATTGTAATATGACAACGAATAATCCTTTCAATGATGAATTTTGCAGAGAAAAGAAGTGATTTTTGTAGATTTTTGTAGAATGAGTGCTAGTCGAAAGCTTAAAATTTAAGAAAAATTTATATATTTATATAAAATAAGAAAAATTTATCTTCGAAAGTAAATAAAAAAAATTTGAATATTTCGAGATATTTTCAAAACCTAACCGATAAAATATATTTTTTTTCGTTTATATTATTATGGAAAAAGACACGGAATTGATAAAAAAAGAAGAATTAAAAAAGAATAATTAAAATAAATAAAGACCAATCTGAATCGGATATAAACGAATTACACGAAAGCGAGGAAGAATTTGACAATGTAACGAAATTGAAGATTCTGACGACAGTGGAGATGAAAATTATCACGATACATGCCTTAAATAGAAAGAATGCGTATTATTTCAGATATTGAGAGCGAAAATGAAATAAAAACACGCTGATAATGAAGAAAATACTATGAAAACAGGATCTCTTCGTCTTTTACATTCGTTTTTAAATTTAGCAATCATCAATGCCTGAATTATTATACAAAGAGACCACTGAGTTAATTGAGTAAATAAAATTCGAAAGAATTTTCTCTTTCAATTAGCTGAAGAATTGGGCAGTGACCATCATTCAGTGTCTGGATCTTATATATATAAATATATATATATATATATTTATTTATTTTATTTAATCTCCATATATATATAAATATTTATAAAATATAAATTTTAATTAATTATTGGATTACTTTATTATTATTTTTATTCTTTAAATACTTTATATACTAATAAAATCTATTTTATATATTAATTTATGAATAATAAATTGATTATTAAATTTGATTAAAAATTAAAATTTTTAATTTACAAATAATTTTATTTATTAAAAAATAAGTTATAAATAAACCAACTAAAATAAACTATTAATTTTTTATAAAATAATTATATAATATAAACTATTATAAAATATATATCCAACTATATTTCCATTAAATCTAACAAGCATGTATACTGAAATTACACATCCAAGATAGACGTTTTTTTACGTGTAAAAAAACGTATTGAAGATAACGGTAAATAAAAATCTATAGATTTTTAAATAAATAATTTACAAAAAATTTTAACCCGTCAAAAACACGGATTTCAGTAAAAAGAAAATATATATATAGGTATCAATTTCTCCAATTTAGTGTTAAATAAAAGTTTGTCGTTTCTGGTTCCTGCTTTCGCGAAGGAGGGGAACGAAAACGGTTCGAAAGGGAGCTGGGTCCAAGGAAATTTCTCATAAGTACCAAAGAAGATTATTCTTAGGACCAATTAATACTAATAATAATAATTGTAATATTAATTCTGTCGCAGGCACAACCGCTTAGATGGGTGAAGTTTACAAAAAATTTTAACCCTTCAAAAACACGGATTTCAATAAAAAATAT